AATGATGGGGACCCAGCACGGAAGGGGTTAACATTCCTAGAATTGTACAGGAAATTCTTTGGTGTTGCATGGGTGTTTGGTGCATGCCTGGAAAAGCAGCCAGGCTCACAGTGGCAGGAGTGGGAAATACTGAGATGTCCTGACTGGGAATGCCACCAATCCGTGCAGGAAAATAATACTGTTACAATGCTCCGTCAGGGCGGCAGCATGATGCCATGTTTGCTTTCCCATCTGGCAATTTTACATCAATTGTGAGGATGAATCACGGCTCAGGGTCACAAGCTCCAAACTAAACCCAGAGATTTATTAACTTTCTGGCAAAGCTTGCCATGCAGGAATTAGGCTAGGCTGTGGAAATCAGGAGTGGCCCTTACACTGCAAGGGGACAACTACATAGACCACACATGGCTTCCAAGGGTTTATCAGTCTGAAATTTGGTCACTTTCACAAAGTGAGTTCAAAATAGCTTCTGGTGTTACATCTGCCTGCTTCCTCTGTGCCAGCTGTGTGCTTATAACCATGCTTTTCTGCTTACTTTCACCACTGCTCCTGCACCAAAGACCTACACAAACAGGAGGAGCAACCAATGCACCTAAGTGTCTTAGGAGGTGAAACCCCATTTTCAAAAGTGACCTGGACACTTATGCTTATGATGTATTATTTGCTGTTACAGGATCTTAAGTCTCACTGAAAGTCCTGAGGGCCAGATTGTGAAAGGTATTTCGGCACCAAAGGATCTAGATCAGTGCCTAGTGCAAGGGTGGGCAAAAATCAGGCCCATGGGCTGGATCTGGCCTGCTAAGCATTTCTCTCTAGTCTGTCCAGCTGTTTAACAGAGCATGCACAATGTGTGTTCAGCTACCCCTCCCCCCACCTTGTTCCCCCTGTAGCCGAACTGCTCCCAGGAGAGGAGAGGCAAGTGCTGAAATCAGGGTGTCCCCGTGCCCTTGTACCCCATCTCTGCAGAGTAGGTCAGGGAAAGGGAGGCACACAGCAGAGCTGCTCTGGTCTGAAGCATGGATGATAAGTAACTGAGATGAATGCACTGCCCTGTTTCTAAGATTTCAGTGTTCATTTCTCTCTCTCTCTCTCTCTAACACACACACACACCCACACACACACACACACACGATGTAAAATCCCGTTTAATCAGTAAAGCAGTTAAACATTATAGGGAGAAATTAGTGTAGTCCATTGTTCTGCTCTGTCCTCATCCAGTTCAGCCTTTTTTGGCATTATTTACAACAAGAGCCAGTGAAACATTTTCTGAGCGGAAGTGGACTTGTCACATGCCTCTTTAACATAACTCTGATTAGCTCCATTTCCCCGCCTCCATTTCTTAAACTTTGCACTGAGGTTTACAGTTTGGAATCACTGACTCCTCTACATCTGTATGCCTGGGGAAAGGCATCTCCTTTCCAGCCTGGGGCAAGGGGTCAAGAGAACCCAGCCAGAATCAAGGTAAATCTTCCAAATGCAAAGCAGATGTTAGGCACGTCATGGCGCAACCCGACTGACAGGCAAAGCTACTAAGGACACAGCTAAGAGATCGCTGGGGAGAGCTGAGCTCAGGGAGCTAATCCTGCCCTTGTATGCCGGGGGTGTGTCTAACTCCAAAGGGATTTGCTAATTTGGGACACGTCCTGGTTCTTTCAGGGAGATAATATTTTCACCCCTCCATGGGTTGAGAGATAATCTGCTAAACCCGTTAACCCTTCCGTAAATCTAACCCGCTTCCCTAAGTGCATGTGGGTCATGCATGCGGGCTGGCATCACGCTCAGCATCAGTAAATAATAAATGAGCAAGTGAACGCCATCCTCTTTCTTCAGCCCTCGACAGCTGCTCAAAGATTCCGATCCTGAGATTTCCCGGTTTCTGAAGGCTGTGCTGACCGCAGCCTTTCTGCAATCACTGGGTGACGCTGGCTGACACATGTGCTGCCCTCAGTGGCCATCTTTTCGCTTTCCCAGGAGTGTGCTGTCAGAAAGAAGCAGTCCGGAGAGGGTAGAGAGCAGCTCCTGGATGGATCAGGAGAAAGGGTCCTGCTTGGATTCAGTCAGGCCCAAACCCTCTCAAGGAGTACAGAAGAGTGGGCAGGGGGTGCCCTGTTCTGCATCTGTTGTTGTCCTGAGTAGTGTGTTTGATATGCTGGTGGCGGGCTACATAGGCAGACAGACTTCTGATTCCTAGGCTGCCTCAGAGGGCTTGCCCAAGGTCCGAGTCTCAGTTATAATAATGCCCTCCTGGCAGCATAAAGGCACCAGAAATGGGCTTTCTCCTGGTGCAAGGGCTCTCTGTGGCTGCTGTGAAAATGGCACGAGTTCCACAGTGTCTCTGCTTTCAGCTCCTGCCATAGGAGTAATGGTAGGGACAGAAAGAGGGCCTGGCTGTTGTGCTCTAACCTATTCTCTGCTTTCCGAGGGGGCAAATCCTACATCAGAACAACTCTGAGGCTGCTCTAATTTACCCCAGGGGCTGGATAGGGTCCTGCAGAACCCCCCAAACATAGAGTGCATCGCTTGCTTAAAATCTCTTTTCCTAACCTTGTTTCTGCTCCCAGTTTAGGCACAGACTGAGTGAGCTTGAGCTGACAGGGTCCAACACAGCAAGCTGGCTAGCTGGGAACTAGCTGAAAGGAGGTGATATGGAAAGTGCTTAAATTGCAGTGACTGTAGCAATGCTCAAAGCTAACAGGGTGCCTTTATCACTGGTCTCCAAGGCTTGGTACTTTGGTCCATCATCCAGCCTGTGGATGTCGCTATGTGTGTTTCCTACTATCTGCCCTTAGCACACAGGTTGAGTCCTTCCTTTGGCAGTGGGAGCTCGTTGTGCTTAGTCATCCTTAGGCTTTATTCCCTCCTTCTCCGTCATTGCCTGGGTTTTTTTTTTTTTTTTTTTTTACTTCCCATCAAACTCGTGGCCAATGGTGAGCCCCTTCCTGTTGGAAATAAGGGTGCAGTTAATAATTCATTGGAAGCACTTGCTTTAGGAGGTGATGGATTCTCTGTCCCTTGAAACTTTAGCATCAGCGTGGCTATTGTTCTGAAAGAGATGCTACAGCTCCAACAGAAGTTATGGACTTGATACAAAAATTATTGCATGAGGTTCTCTGGCCTGTGCGGTGCAGAGGCTGGATTACATAAGCATAGTTGTGCTTTCTGGATTTAGCATGGATGAATTTATTAATCTGAGATTTTTCTTTTTGTTGAAAACTGAATTTTATGTTGAAAGGCAGTTTGGACGGAAAATTTTCAGCCAGCCCTTCTCATAAATGCAACCACTGCTTCATTTACAGTTCATTCCCCATCCCACCCCCAGGAACTCCAAAAAGTACGTATCATGGCCAGTTTGCCTAGGGAAAGGCAAATACAGAACCATTGGTCATCTGGGCATACAATTACACAGAATAAAAAGGGAAACTAAAGAAGAATACAAGGAAAGAACAGAGGTCTGATCCTCTGCTGGTATAAATCAACATAGTGCAATGGAAGTCAAAGGAGTTCTACTGATTTATATTAGCCAAATGCCTGGTCCCTTGTGAGTAAAGACAACCAAGAAAAAACTTATTAACTATTGATGTCAGCACAGTTATCCAGAGTAATTGCAATAAATAATTTTTTCCACCAAAAGAGAAGTTTTTAAATTTTACATAGTAATAAGCAGGCTTGTGGTAAGGTGCTATGACTGTCCTTTACTGCATGCTATCAGGACTGCTTAACTGTGTCCTATATGTTCTATATTGCTTTAGCTAAAGGAGAGTCTCTTTGAATTTTAGCTCAGGTGAGAGGGAATTCTGATTCTGGAGCAAGAATTTCTGATTTCTGTTAATTATAGAGGTGAGACAAATTGTGGTCAATTATTCAAGCAGTTTGTTCATGACATTTTCCACCAGTGTATTGATTTCATCAGTTTGTGTGCCCAGTTTCATTTTTCTGAAAGCAGCAATTTAGTTGAAAAGCATGTGAAATCACACAGGGTCATGTTAGAATCAAAGAATCCTCAGGAGGTCATCGAGTCCAACCCCTGCCCAAAGCAGGACCAACCCCAACTCAATCTCCCCACCCAGGGTTTTGCCAAGCCAGAACTTAAAAACCTCTAGGAGATTCCACCACCTCCCTAGGTAACCCATTACAGTGCTTCCCCACTCTCCTAGGGAAATAGTTTTTCCTAATGCAGTCCCCTTACTAAAGGGGCCTCTGTTTTATTCTGAAAAGACCTTGTGTGCTACACTCCAGACTACAATTCCCATGAGCCTTTGGAAAAAAACAGGAAGAAAGGACTCTTGTGTGGGAGAGGGCTGCTCTCTCCATGTGCTTGAAGAAAGAGGCCTAGCAGTCTGGGACTCTGCCTTGGAGTTTGGAACCAGAGGGGGAGCCAGGCTGCTGCCAAGGAGATTGACCCAGTTCAGGGGCTGTTGGATGCAGCTACTAGATGCTTGTTGGAACTGGGAGTTAGCAGGCTGCGTCCTATAGGCACAGCACGAGGCAGTAAGTTTGGGCCTTGCTGGAAGAGTGCTGCCTGAGACAGAGCTGCTGTTTAGCCTGGACCAAATCCTCACTACAGCTGCAACATCAGCGCCAACGCAAGCAAGTGTCTGGGACTGAGTCTAGGGGTGTGCACACTCTGGGGTGGGGTCACTGTCGTCTAGCTATATAAGCTTCAATTATTGCTATGTGTTTTGTTAATCTATTCATTGCTAATCTGTAATCCCTGTTTATTTAAGTTAAGTAAAGATTGTTTATTTTAAAGTATTTTATTAGATATATATGATTTGTAGTTGTTCTGGAATTAGATCCAGATTTATGTTGGAATGAGTATATTCCTGGAGGCTCTCAAGGCACCAGTGTGTGTACAAGGCCAGCCAGGTGGAGGCACCACCATTTTACATTCATTGCCAGCAAGGGACTGCAGCAAGGGGGTGGATAAAGCTTTCCCCAACTAAACACCATCACCACTGGGGTGCTCAGGATCTCTTTTGGGTTAAAACACCAGGCGCCCAGGCACACCTGTGAGTGTGACCTGCTCCCCAGTAACCCGGGGAGGAAAAAGGGAGTTACACTAATATCCAACCTAGACCTCCTCCACTGCAACTTGAGACCATTGCTCCTGGTTCTGTCATCTGTCGCCACTGAGAACAGCCTCTCTCCATCCTCTTTGGAACCTCCCTTCAGGTAGTTAAAAGCAGCCCCTTCACTCTTCTCTTCTGTAGACTAAATAAGCCCAAATCCCTCAGCCTCTCCTCCTATATCATGTGCTACATCCTCCTTATTATTTTTGTTGCCCTCTGCTGGACCCTCTCCCTTTCTATAGTGGGGGACCCAGAACTGGACACAATACTCCAGATGTGACCTCACCAGAGCCAAATAAAGGGGAATAATCACTTCCTTAGAACTGCTGGCAATGATCCTCCTAATGCACCCTAATAGGTCATTAACCTTCTTAGCTACAAGGGCACACATGTTGTTACAATGATAGCAATTTAGTTCAAATACAGAGTCCCCTTTTTACACAAAATAGCTCAGTTTTGGAATTTGGGGGAGGGGGGGAGAAAGCTGTATGTGTATGTGTGTGCGACTATTTCAACTTGGCAATGAACTGCAAAAGTGTTCAGATTTTCAGCAATTCAGATGTCCTTGCAAATAGTAGCAAGACATAACCTTTTCCATGGCCAGATCCTGCAAGTCTTACCCGTGTAAAGAGATCCTCTGAAGAACGGAACTATACCTCTATGCAAGGACAAATCAGTTGTGTTTTGGCACAGTTGGACCTCCCTGATCCAGCACCCTTGGGACCTGACCAGTTCTGGAGAAGGGAGTTTCCTGGACCAACAAAGCTTTTGGAGGGAGAGGTTGCCAGCCTCTCTTCTGGGCTCCTCTCATCAGCCACCTGGCACTGCTGCACCCAGTCCCCTGGCAGTAGTACTGCCAGCCCTGTGAACTCCATCAGCCCTGTCAACCCTGTGAACTCTGAAGATCCCACTGGCCCTTGCATCTGTGGTGGCCCTGCCAGCACTTCCTGGCCCTGCTGACTGTGGGTTCTGATGCACCATGGGCTCTGCTGCCCCACTGGCCCCACCAGCCAGTTCTGCTTCCAGCTGCCAGCAACTTCTGTACTAGTGCTCTCTAGTCCAACGACATCTGTGGTCCTGGATGTTGCCGGACCAGAGAATCCCAGACCAGAGGTTCAACCTGTATTCATTTTCCGCCTACTACTTGGTTGCCTGGGCAAAGAAAGCAGATTCTGGCCTCTTATATTTTCCCAGCACCCTTGTCCATGTGTGGCATGAAAGGCTATAGGCTGGATTTCTTCACTTACACCAGTGCTAGTCGGTGGAAATGCTCCAGGTTTAACTGAGAGGAGACTCTGGTATCTCCTGCCTTGTCTCATTGCTTTACCTGTACTTTCAGGGGTTTCCTTTGATACAAATGGCAGCTACATTGGACAGACATGGGAGAGGGTTCTATTTGGTTACTCCTGTGCTGGAAAGTATGGCCCTGTCGAAGGCTGCAGGCACCAGGGTCTACATGAAACTGGAGAATGTCCAACCTACAGGCTCCTTCAAGATTAGGGGCATTGGCTACTTCTGTCAGGAGGTGAGAACAGCATTGGGATGTTAACTTTGCTTTTTTGAGGTGCTTGATGGTTGACACAGTGTGCCGTGAATGTGCACAGAAGAAGGATGTGTGTGTTTTTCGGTGTGTGTGTTTGGTGGTACAAAATAAGGATGTTAAATATTGGTTAATTTCTTAGTTGAGTAGTGGATGTACTACTCAACTAGTTGATAGGCACTTCCGCATTCCTCCTTTGAAATGTACAAGAGCCCCTGCCGAGGTGGTGTTTCAAAGGGGCAGAGCCACACAGTTGATCCCGGGCTCAGCTGTGCGGCACTGCTGCTTTGAAGTACCCCTTTCCCCCCCCCTTTGCTGCCTTTATCTGATAGAAGCAGCAAGGGGGTGGAATCGACTAGTCGACTGACTTTCCCATAAGCATTTGCTTATGGATCGTTGACTGGTCGATTAGTCCTTAACATCCTTAGTACAAAATGCATTAGTGTGGGTATGTGTTGCAAAATGCAGTTGTGTGTGCTTGTAAAATGATGCAGAAACATTGTGCAGGATGGATGCAGTGTGTGTGTGTGGCGATGCAGATGTGCAGTTTATGGCACAGGATGCACTTGAGTGTGGGTGTGTAGTCTGAATTATGTTACTGACTTTACAGTGTTAGAGTGGTCATTGTATTGCTAATTTCATGGCCAATCTGGATGTACACTGTCAGCCCTGAGATGTGAGTTAAATGAATTCCAAGCTCTACTTTCTCTTTGGTTTCAGGCTGCCAAGAACGGCTGCAAACATTTTGTTTGTTCCACCGGTAAATTTACTTCAAACTATTCTTCTCTCTTGGGATATTCAGCAAGATGGGGCTGTTCTTCTCCATCACCTGATCCCTGGGGTTCCATGGGTACCAAGGGAGATTTCTTTAAAGCATAGAGGAAGTGGGATTTGCACTCACACTGTCGAGGCCCAGGTGAGGGCATCTGCCCTTTCCAATACAGGCCAGAAGTTCATCCGGTAAATTTACTTCAAACTATTCTTCTCTCTTGGGATATTCAGCAAGATGGGGCTGTTCTTCTCCATCACCTGATCCCTGGGGTTCCATGGGTACCAAGGGAGATTTCTTTAAAGCATAGAGGAAGTGGGATTTGCACTCACACTGTCGAGGCCCAGGTGAGGGCATCTGCCCTTTCCAATACAGGCCAGAAGTTCATTGAGTAGGTTTAGGATAGTGGTTGAGAGTTGGCGGTCCCACCCATCCTGGGGGCAGCCACCAGCAGCTTCCCGAGGAATGGAGCTGGCACCATTAGAGGGTGAGAAGGATAAGGGTGCTGAAGGATGGAGCTAGCACTCCTGGAAGGTAGCGCTTGGGAAGGTGGTGGTGACTTGGGAAGCAGGCGGGACCAGATTCCTCCGGAACATTCTTCCATTGCCACACTGGGGTGTCCCCAAGCCTCTCCAGCTGTTCACTGACCCCTGGCTCCATGTCTCTACAGGGGGGAATGCTGGGCTTGCCGCGGCGTACGCTGCCAAGAAGCTGGGGATCCCTGCCACCATCATAGTGCCAACAAACACCTCTCAAGATACAGTGCAGAAGCTGGAGGAGCAGGGGGCGGAGGTGGAGGTCTTTGGGAAGGTACCTGTTGTCATGGATCCACAGAGGTTGGGCTTTGTCCCCGTTCGTAACCAGTCCCTTGGGAGTGAACCCTTCAGTGGCCAGACACCAAGGGCCACAGTTCCACAGGGACAGGTCCCAGAAGTCCATGACATCAACACTTGGCCTTGGGCCCCAGCAATCTTATCTCTCTCTGTGGCCCCTGCTGTCAGTGCAGCTGAGCCAGACTCCAGAGAGAGGCCTCTATTGGGTCCTTTTGGGAGGCCATGCTCCCGGGTGTATTCTCCCTGCCTGATCTTGCTGACACTCAGTGTCAATAAGCCAGTCATCGGGATTCCAGTTTGTTCTAGCAACCTATTCGTGTCGCCCCAGAGAGCTATGTAACACTAGCACTGGGTGTCTTCTGGTCTGCTCGCCATGGGCTAGCGATCCCAAAGTGACAGGTGGAGTCATATGGATAATTCATGAAAATAGTACAGAAAATCCCCCCTCCCCCCGTTCCTTACGGCCGTGCTGGGAGAAATGGGGGGAAACCAGCCTGGGGTGAACAACTGCAGAATTGCAGTGGGTAGTAAAATTGCTAGAGGCCAGTGATGTGCACCACTGGGGTTCTGGGATGGCCCATCTCCTTGTTTATACTCTGCCTAGCATTTTACTTGCTGTAAATTGCTACTGGGTAGCTACTAAAAATATATCCAGGTAAGTTCCATTTATTGGCATGGCCCAAGGGAAGTCCTACACTATGGGATAACTGGGCATTTGTGTCGACAGATGTGCACGCCCATCTCCTGCTGTCTCCTGTGGCTGTTCCCCTCCTTGCTCCCTTCCTCCCTTCCCAATCTACAGGTCTTCAGTCTTCCAGCTCGTTACTCAGCAGGTATCAGTTCATATAGTGCTAGGTTTGGGAGAGGACACAAAGCTGTTAAAAGAATTGAAATTCAGATAAATGTACATTACGTGTGTACTGAGGTGACAAAAGGGGCCAAATTCCAGCCTTATTCACCCACAGGCAGGCAACCCAATGCAAATCACAGGAGAACAGGACTGACCACAAGATTTTGCTTGCTGCGTCATTTCTGGGCCCGGCAACTTTCCATACATACGAATACACTCAGGCTATGTCTACACTACGAGGTTTTTGCGCAAAAAATGATGGAGCGTCCACACTTCAAGTGCATTTTTGCACAACCCCCCCCCCTCCAGTAAATTGACAGGACAGAGGGCTTTTGCCAGTAGAGTTATTCCTCTCCCCACGAGGAATAACTCCTTTATGTACAGCAGTTCTTGCACAAAAAGGCATGTGTGGATGTTCCACAGGGGTTTCTTGCACAAAAAAAGCCTATCAGAAAAAACACAGGTGCTCTGATGGCCATTCTGTGAATGGCCATCAGAGTTTTTTTGCGCAATAGCATCCATGCACTGTAGACTCTCTCTTGCACGAAAGCACATCACTTTTGTGATGCACTTTTGAGGTGTGGATGCGCTTTTGTGCAAGAAGTTTTTGTGGAAGAACTCTCCCACAAAAAGCTTCTTGCGCAAAAACCCTGTAGACAAAGCTGCACTGATCTGTAAGCCTGATTCTCATCTCACACACACACACAGAGAAACGCGCGCACATATACGCGTGCACACATACACACACACTGATGCATGCCCTAAAAATCACTGGGCCAAACTCTTTTCTTCCCTCAGTATTCCACCAGTATAACTCCATTACCCTGGATAGGCTTCTGTTTTATTCTGCCAGAAGCGGGTAACCATGATGTGAAGCTTAGCCTCCCCTGTCCATCAAGTCCCCTTCGTGCTAGGTGCTGCACATTTATATAAGGAAAGTCTAAATGGCAGGCAGGCCATTCCCAGCCAGCCTTGTTAGTGAGGGCTGGGTGAAGCTGGCAGTGGCAGGCAGAGAATGGATCCTTCCCTGCATCATTGTGCCGGCAGGTCTGGGATGATGCCTACGTAAAAGCGCTGGCGTTAGCGGAGACCGAAGGCTGGAACAGTGTCCACCCCCTCCACCATCCTCTCATCTGGTGAGAAGTTGGGGCTTTGGTCCTTACATTGTTTTTTGTCTCTCTAGCCCTGGGGCCCGCATCTGAGCCCTCAAAGTCCCTCTGAGGCTTTGATTGCACACCATGCCTCTTCCCTCCACAGTTCTGTGTCTCCCTCTTTCTTATATCCTGCGCATGCCCAGAGCTGCTGTTAGTATAATCAGGCTGCAGAGGGCTTGTCCCCATGCCATTTTGGGGATTGGGTCTCCATTTGCTGCATGGTTTCTCCATCAGCCCCCGGGGGCATATTGCTGAGTCTGACTGTGGCCTCAGGCCCCTGGGAAGGATCCATGTGGTGAGAGGAGCAAGGCAGGATGCACAAGGGAGGGAGAGAACAGCAAGAGGCTGCTGGGTTCTTCATGTCCCCACTGCTCCCTGTGGACTCTGTGTGCAGTGAGTGGTGTCCAGCCAGCCCTTTTGTCCTCAGTGTACCCTAAGCTGGCAAGTGCACAGCTGCAGCCCAGCTCAGAGCAAGGAGCTGCTCGTCAGACCAGATCTCCGCTTTCTGGACCTGGCAGGGCACCTGCCGGAACAAGGGGGTTGTGTCTGAATGAATGCCACCAGCTGGCTGATTCCAAGGGGAATTTGCTGTGTCAGTCCTGCCTGGGCGTCCAGCGGCTGGTGCCACTCGTCCCAGTGTCTCTTTGCACTCAGGCAGTGGGAACATGGCCTAGTAGGGCCCGACTGAGGAAGATGCTTCAGCATGTGTTGAGGGGCTGGTGGGGAGGGGAGGAAAGGGGCCCAAGGGCTTTCCTCTCTGGGAGATTGTTCAGATCTCCTACCCCTGCCTCTCACAGCCTTTGCTGACAAGGCCTCTGGAGTGATTTTGGGGGGAACTTTTACCTCCTCAAATGAGCAGGCTACCTGCACCCCTGGCCCCAAGTCACTAGCCCAGGAGCCCCTCACCCTTGGACTCTGGCCTGATCCTGTAGGGCTGTGAATGGCTAGAGCTGCATGCTTCCTTCCCTCCCTGGTGCTCTGGGGTCAGGGAGGCTGGGGACACGGGCTGCCCACCCCTCCCGTGCATGCCCATCCACCCTCCTCCCCTCCTTGTGGTGGTGGGGGTGCAGGCAGCTGGCATGCATGCTTCCTTCCCTCCCTGGTGCTCTGGGGTCAGGGAGGCTGGGGACACGGGCTGCCCACCCCTCCCGTGCATGCCCATCCACCCTCCTCCCCTCCTTGTGGTGGTGGGGGTGCAGGCATATGGCATGCTGCTCTGCCTCTCTGTGGTGGGGGGGAGGAATGGGGAGGCAGCTTGGTCAGGAAGGGGTCAGGCTGGGGGCTTGTCTCCCCCAGCCCTGCCTTCACAACCGCCCATATTAAAGGTCTAGATACTAATGAAAGGTGTGGAAAAATAGAATAAGAAAATGTTATTCATTCCTTCATTAACATAACACAAGAAACTGGCCCAATCAAATTTAAAGGCAGCAGAACTAAACCAAACAAAATCAATTATTTTTTCACAATCAACTTGCAGAACTCTTTGCTGGGAGATGGTGGATAGGCCCAAACCATAACAGGGTTCCAATAAGAACCAAATAAGTTCAAGGCGGATAGGTCCATCAGTGGCTACTAGCCAGAATTGGCAGGGACAGTGTTCCCGACTTCAGTATGCTAGAAGGGGATGGATCATGATGATTATCTCTTCTGAAGTGGCATTGGCCACTGTTGGCAGACGGGATAGTGGGCTAGATAGACCATTGATCTGACCCAGTATGGGCGTTCTGATGTTCTTATATAGAACTGAAGTGTATCTGCCTGCTGCTGTAACCCACTAGATGCCACATCTCTCTCAGAGCTGAGATAGAGCCCAGGAGTCCTTATGGGGTCTGTCTATCCCCACGGAGTTAGTAATAAAGTAAGACCATACATTAAAATGTTAAGACTAACCAGTCTCCCTTAAGTGACTTGCCACATGATCTCAGAATATGTTAGTGTTAGAGCTGAATGGGTGTAATATTTATTTCATTTTCTTTCTTTTCTATAGGAATTAGATACAGTGCTCCTGTCAGCTAACTGCTAAGTTGTCTACCAAAAATGTAGAGTTTTCCATTGCCGTAGCAGCTCTTGGGTAGAGGTGTGTGTGTGTGTGTGTGTGTGTGTGTGTGGGCGAAAGGGATTGATTTCCACCCCTCCCCCCGAATTGGTGCTTGACTTGTACCTAGCGTGCTCAGTAATACTGCTGACGCCTCTGTCTTCAGTTTGCCCCTTCTCACTCTCTTCTCCCTGCTTCATCACAGCATGCACAGGTCGGCCCTCCTACCAAAATCTGAAATGGCTCCTCTTCTCTAGTCCAGTGGAAGAGGGCAGGAACAGGAAGCTAGGATTGGGGTTTCTGCTGCCTCCCTAATTCTAGGGAGAGAGTAGGTCATGGGTGCTCAAGGCTGGCATGGCAGAGTGGAGACGGGCACAGCTATAGCAATGTCAGACTTGCTAGGCAGGGTGTGGCTAAGCCCAATTGCTGTCAAAAGGCTGCCCCAGGAGAGGAGACATTTGGGGGCCACACATCCCCTGCCCCCACTTTGGTTATACCTGTGCATCTATCTAGCCATCCTCTCATGGTCTCCTGCCCTCCTCACTTCTCTGGTTTCTTCTACCTCCAAGACTCTTGCCACTGCACAGCCTAGCTGGCAGAATGTGCCCTGACCAGCCTCCTTGTGCAAATGCCGTGAGGTCTGGCTAGGGCTGAAGCTGCCCAGCCCTCTGCCCATTATCAGAGTCTGGCAGGGACATTTCATACCCAAGTGCTTGCTGTCTCATGGTCTCCTGCCCTCCTCACTTCTCTGGTTTCTTCTACCTCCAAGACTCTTGCCACTGCACAGCCTAGCTGGCAGAATGTGCCCTGACCAGCCTCCTTGTGCAAATGCCGTGAGGTCTGGCTAGGGCTGAAGCTGCCCAGCCCTCTGCCCATTATCAGAGTCTGGCAGGGACATTTCATACCCAAGTGCTTGCTGGCTGATTTCTCACAGCCAGTCTGGTGTTTCGCATGGTAAGGGAGCTGAAGGATGCGTTAAGCAACAAGCCGGGAGCCATCGTCCTGGCGGTGGGAGGTGGAGGGCTGCTGGCTGGAGTGGTGGCTGGCCTGCAGCACGTGGGCTGGCAGGATGTACCCATCATTGCAGTGGAAACCAAAGGAGCTGATAGCTTCAATGCAGCGCTCAGTGCGGGGAGATTGGTCACCCTGCCAGATATCACCAGGTGGGTGCAACTGCTCTGGGGACTTGAGGAGACTGATTCCAAAGGGGGCTCTGCAGGGGGTGATGGCAGGGGAGGGGAAGTCTGCAGGGGACAGGGAGGGGAGAGTGTCTGAGGGGGTCTGGGCAGGGGAGGAGGGATCAGAGGCACTTATTATTGAATTGCCCTTTAGCAGCCTGTCAAGGCCTTGGTCAGGTGTTATGCTAGGTGCTGTTATAATGACAGGGAAGGGAAAGGAAGTGGTAGGGACATGAGACATGCCAGTGGGAGGGTGGGGAAGGGAGGAAGCGGGACCAACAAGAGTCAAGCTTCTTCTTCAGAAGAGGCCTGGCCTTTACACTGCCCTATCAATGTCCTTCACTCATTCTCCTGTGTGGAGTTTCCAGCTGGTAGCAGCTGCCAGATTGACAGTTCTTGCTTGGCCTTCCCCATCCCCTGCTCTGGAGGAACCCTCTCTGTAGGTGGGAACTTTTGCTGAATCCCAGGCTGGATGCCACAGTATCCGGCCCTGGGGTCCCTGGATTCCCGCCATGCCATGCCACTCTAACCCCACGTTCCCTCTGTGAATGATCTTTCCACCCTGAACATCCTTGAGTTCACAAGGCCAGCAGCCAGCGGGGACCTGCCGGCTTTACCAAGAGCTGGAAACTCTCCCTGTCTGGCAGTTCAAGCCAGAAATCAGGGTGAGTCCAGTCTCTGACTAGTGCCCAACTTCAGATGTGAGGGTGGTCCTGCTTTCAGAGAGCAGGGGCATACTCACTCTCTCTAGGCCCGGCCTTGCCTCTCGTGTACTGAGCTAGACAGAACCCCCCTAAGAAGATTTGAAGGCAGGATGTTTTCCCAGGGATATGGGGAAATAATATTGTATCCTGAGCTGATATGAGCAAAGGAAATATCTGCTTCCAGGTGTCCCTGTAGCTTTGCTGGGAACTGTCTCCTGAACTCCTCCAAGAGTTTCTGTGCCATGTGTAAGGATCTGACCAGTCAGCTGAGCCAGCAGTCAGAGCCTTCCCTCATAGGACTGTGTTTTCCAGAGCAGTGTGAATCAGGAGAAGAGGGGGGCAGTGGTCTGATGTCACCTCAGGGGGTATATATAGATTACATGCCTCTGCCGACAGAGGCATGTAAAATAGGCTACCCGACATACTCAGTGAAGCGGGGATTTAAATATCCCTGGCTTCATTAAAATAAAAATGGCTGCCGCACTGTGCTGGCTCAGCTGATCATCGGCACAGCGCGCGAGTCAAGACGTGGATCGGTCGACAAGGGAAGCCTTTGTCAATCACTCCCTTATGCCTTGTGAAACGAGGTTTGCAGGAATGGTCAACAAAGACTTCCCTTGTCGACCGATCCGCGTCAGCAGAGGCATGTAGTCTAGACATACCCAGGCTGAGGAGAGGGTTTGTTTCACCCCCTTTGCTGAAGACATTGTGTGACCATGGGCATGTCTCTTAGCTGCTCTGTGCCTCAGTTCTCCACCTGTACAATGAGGTTAAATGCTCAGAGCTGGTATGAAAGCAGATCCATTAACACTCATGAGGGGCTGTAGTGAGTGGGATAGTGGAAATTCCTTCGACAGCCAAATGCCCATCTCTGCACCCCCTTTGAGAATCCCAGCTTTGGACCTCAGAGGCCATTCCTTTGGTCTGGATGAAATGCTTGGACAATGCCCTGATTTGTTGCCATCAGGTTGATACAGTCCTGTCTAAGGTGCAACTTTTTGCAAGCTCTGAAGATGACCACATTGAAATGCTTTTTATAGGCGGGTGTTAATGCTCATACGCTGTGTCTGCACCAGATTCAAATCCTTCCTGAGTCAGTAATGGCAGCAAGCCCTGTCTGTATCTGATGACTCTTGAATGGTCTTTTTGTGTGATGAATTGGCAGGCCTCAATCCTGTGGGCTCCACATCACAAAACCCAGCAACACTGTTAGCCACCCAGCAGAGGGGCAAAAGGCCAGATGGGCCATGGAGACCAAACTCCCGACTTGTGACCTGGCTTCACAGCTGTCCTGTGCTATGTCTGGTCAATGTCATTCCCCAGAGGGTTGCCAGCCTAGAAACTTCTTGTCCTAGTTGCAGAGATCCAGGTCTGAATTCTCCCAGCTCTGGGCATGCTCTCACTGTCTCCATTTCCCAGTGTGGCCAAATGCTTAGGAGCCAAGACGGTGTGTGTCCGGGCACTGGAATGTGCCCGTGAATGCCAAGTCATCTCCCAGCTGGTGGAGGATGTGGAAGCAGTCCAAGCCATGGAACAGTTCCTGGGTAAGTGAATGAGCTTTTCCTACAGTGCCTGGGTACTGATGCTGCTCTCTGGCTGACAGATGAGCCAACAGCACCACCTAATGCCTGCTGGAGTTGCTTCATGCTCTGAGCTATTCCAACGGCCTCTGTAGATCTCTCTTTTTCATAAGGAAGGTTGTTGACCTTTGATTCTGGGTTTAGTTAGCATTTCTCTCTCAATGGAATGAAGAAATCAGATCCAGGGATGGGAGACACTGACAGACCCGCCTACGTTACAGTTACAATCGTGCGATGCAGTTCAGACCCAGCTGTGTCCCAAATGTATACTAATAACATATAGAATAGTAATAGAAATGTAGCCGTATTAGTCTGGTGTAGCTGAAGCAAAATGCAGGACAATGTAGCACTTTAAAGACTAACAAGATGGTTTATTAGATGATGAGCTTTCGTGGGCAATCAGACTCCCCGACATAGTCAGTGAAGCTGGGATTTAAATATCCCCGGCTTCATAAAAATTAAAAAAGGGCTGCCGCACTGTGCTGGCTCAGCTGATCATCGGCACAGCGCGCGAGTCAAGACGTGGATCGGTCGACAAGGGAAGCCTTTGTCAATCACTCCCTTATGCCTTGTGAAACGAGGTTTGCAGGAATGGTCAACAAAGACTTCCCTTGTCGACCGATCCGCGTCAGCAGAGGCATGTAGTCTAGACATACCCAGGCTGAGGAGAGGGTTTGTTTCACCCCCTTTGCTGAAGACATTGTGTGACCATGGGCATGTCTCTTAGCTGCTCTGTGCCTCAGTTCTCCACCTGTACAATGAGGTTAAATGCTCAGAGCTGGTATGAAAGCAGATCCATTAACACTCATGAGGGGCTGTAGTGAGTGGGATAGTGGAAATTCCTTCGACAGCCAAATGCCCATCTCTGCACCCCCTTTGAGAATCCCAGCTTTGGACCTCAGAGGCCATTCCTTTGGTCTGGATGAAATGCTTGGACAATGCCCTGATTTGTTGCCATCAGGTTGATACAGTCCTGTCTAAGGTGCAACTTTTTGCAAGCTCTGAAGATGACCACATTGAAATGCTTTTTATAGGCGGGTGTTAATGCTCATACGCTGTGTCTGCACCAGATTCAAATCCTTCCTGAGTCAGTAATGGCAGCAAGCCCTGTCTGTATCTGATGACTCTTGAATGGTCTTTTTGTGTGATGAATTGGCAGGCCTCAATCCTGTGGGCTCCACATCACAAAACCCAGCAACACTGTTAGCCACCCAGCAGAGGGGCAAAAGGCCAGATGGGCCATGGAGACCAAACTCCCGACTTGTGACCTGGCTTCACAGCTGTCCTGTGCTATGTCTGGTCAATGTCATTCCCCAGAGGGTTGCCAGCCTAGAAACTTCTTGTCCTAGTTGCAGAGATCCAGGTCTGAATTCTCCCAGCTCTGGGCATGCTCTCACTGTCTCCATTTCCCAGTGTGGCCAAATGCTTAGGAGCCAAGACGGTGTGTGTCCGGGCACTGGAATGTGCCCGTGAATGCCAAGTCATCTCCCAGCTGGTGGAGGATGTGGAAGCAGTCCAAGCCATGGAACAGTTCCTGGGTAAGTGAATGAGCTTTTCCTACAGTGCCTGGGTACTGATGCTGCTCTCTGGCTGACAGATGAGCCAACAGCACCACCTAATGCCTGCTGGAGTTGCTTCATGCTCTGAGCTATTCCAACGGCCTCTGTAGATCTCTCTTTTTCATAAGGAAGGTTGTTGACCTTTGATTCTGGGTTTAGTTAGCATTTCTCTCTCAATGGAATGAAGAAATCAGATCCAGGGATGGGAGACACTGACAGACCCGCCTACGTTACAGTTACAATCGTGCGATGCAGTTCAGACCCAGCTGTGTCCCAAATGTATACTAATAACATATAGAATAGTAATAGAAATGTAGCCGTATTAGTCTGGTGTAGCTGAAGCAAAATGCAGGACAATGTAGCACTTTAAAGACTAACAAGATGGTTTATTAGATGATGAGCTTTCGTGGGCCAGACCCACTTCCTCAGATCAAATAGTGGAAGAAAATAGTCACAACCATATATACCAAAGGATACAATTAAAAAAAAGAACAAATATGAAAAGGACAAATCACATGGCAGAACAGAAGGGGGATGCGGGGGGGTGGGAAGGGGGAGGAAGGAAGGTAAGTGTCTGTGAATTGATGATATTAGAGGTAGGGAGAGTGGGATGTTTGTGAGTTAATGGTATTACAGGTGATATTTGGGGAAGTTATGTTTTTTCTATGTACATTGGACAAACGTCTCAGACACTTCGCCAAAGGATTAATGCCCACAAAACAGATATCAGACAAGATCACAAAGAAAAAACAGTTTCTTGCCATTTCAACCAGAAAGGACACTGTCTCAACAACTTAACTACCTGCATTCTGCTACAAAGACCTTTTACATCTGCACTTGAAAGGGAATCCTCTGAACTGTCATTCACGCTAAAATTCGACACTCTCCGGGGGGATTGAACAAAGACCCCAACTACCTTACCCATTTCAAAGATAGCTTCCCCAGTTATCACCTCTAATACCATTAGTTCACAGACATCTACCTTCCCTATCTCTAATATCATTAACTCACAGACATTTACCTTCCTTCCCCCCCTGCATCCCCCTTCTGTTCTGAAATGTGATTTGTCCTTTTCATTTGTGTTCATTTTTTTAATTGTATCCTTTGATATCTATAGTTGTGACTATTTTCTTCCACTATTTGATCTGAGGAAGTGGGTCTGGCCCACAAAAGCTCATCACCTAATAAACCATCTTGTTAGTCTTTAAAGTGTTACATAGCTAATAACATGTTTGGTTTCACCCGAGTAGATGGGTCCAAATTGTGCTACAGCCAATAAAGGACTTGTGCCACCTGCCCAAGGAAATTAGGTGTAGAAAGGGGCTTCCTCAGCTGGCTTGGAGTGTCATTTAATTGTAGGAAATTTGAACATTAGTGGAAACATCAAGTGTGTTGGATTTTCAGATACCAGCTTAGGCTGAAAGCACAAGGGCTAGTCTCCAGTTAGTGTGTATATCCTTCCTCCCTGTAGTACAGGGTGGGGAACCTTTTCTGGGGCGGGAGCTGCTGACCCACAGAAAAATCAGTCGGGGGCCACACACATGTGAGAAGCAATGTGAGAAATGCGAGAAGCCCCTGACTGAGAAGGAGAAAGACCCTCCCCGCATTCCCCTTGCACTCCAGTGCCTAGGGGGGCGCCCAGACAAGTAGGTTTTGTGTGCTCTGGTCCTGCGGGTGGGTGGCAGAGGGGCTGGTGCACCAGTGCAGGCTCCCCAATGCTGAGCCTAAGGGGCTGGATCCCAGGCAAGTGGGGAGCTGCATCCGGCCTCCCGGGCCAGAGGTTCCCCACCCCTGTTCCTGTGGCTTCCCTCTGTGATGATAACAGCCTACTGCTGGGCATAGCTAAATTCCTCTTTTAGCTCATGCAATGGAGGTTTGTGCTTTTGAGGATGAAGTATCTCTACTTTCTTGCTCCTTCCTGTTGGCATTGTCCAGATGACGAGCGGATGCTGGTTCAGCCTGCCTGTGGAGCCCCTCTGGCTTTACTCTACACAGGTCGTGTTCAACAGCTGCAACGGGAAGGGCATTTGAACCCAGACCTGGACTCCATTGTCATCATTGTGTGCGGAGGAAGCAACATCCAAATGTCTGAGCTGCAGGCCCTGAAAACCCAGCTGGGCATGAAATGACTGTAGAGCAGCTCATGGAGCAGGGGACTCATGGAATCCAATGTAGCCACTAATAAATTGTATTATTGAGTTTTTGTAAGTGGAATCTAATGAAATTCTAACCAGTTTATAGACAAAGATACAAGGCTTCTCTTGAGTCTTCGATTCTCAGTGACTGCTTTAATGTTCCTGAATGAGGCTGCATGCCCTGACGGTACCAGCTCTTGGGTAAGAATGAAGGAGTGAGTCAGCTGAGCAATGCTGGTTCTCTGTGAGCTGTGTCATTTGGAAAGGTACTTTAGCCTACTCACTAGAGCTAGACAATTTATAGATTTTGGTGATCCATCACTGTAGTTTTAACCCATCTTTTTCAGCGTGAATCATTCATGACTGACCCTGATTTCTGATATTCTCAGAAGTTTATTTGCTGAATAATTCTCACCCAGTGGAGCAAAAAGTTCATTTGTGGTTGATTATCAGTCATAATAGAGTTGTTTCTGATTCTTGACTGGATGACAGAAACATGTCTAGCTGCCAAATAAAGCGAAGGATGGATTCTGCATTTGGGATGTTAAAATGTGATTATTTTTGGTACACACGTAACCACTGAAATGTTTACATGCGGGGCAGGCAGGGACTCTGTGGGAGCTGGTTTGCAGGAGGAGCAACACAGGATGGTAGCATCGGTTAACCATTTATACATTTACACTATCGTATCTCTATTCTGAATAGGATTCTTCTTGGGCCAGACTCTCAGATGAATGATTATTTATGCTAAAAGTCCATGAAAACCTTCTGGCTTCATGATCATTTTCATAGGTACTTTACAGTTGCCTACACACTTAGAAGAAAGGAAGTTGTTTGTTAAAGATCTAACTTTCCCACCCACTAAAATGAGGTGTCAGATCTGACAATACACATCTCTGAGACCATCCAAAATGGGCTTGGGTGTTCCAGATAGAGTGTTGCCTACTCTCATGATTTTATTGGGAGTCTCATGATATTTGATGCTGTACTTACATCGCAGGCTCCTGGAGGCAGGTGAATACATGAGAATCTCAGCTTTCATTTTTAAAAGATGTTTCTAGTCCTCCTAGCTGGGGGAAAGCTAGGAAACGTGACCCTCTAAAGGCTCAAGCACCAAAAGGAAAATAAAAAGCGCTCATTTTTTTTTAAGAAGTCTTAGGATTGTTAAGACAACTCTTGCTTTTTCTGGCCTTTCCCCTTTCGGCATTTGCAATGGTGCCTATATTTCTAAGCTAATAACTAGAAAAAATCCTTTTAAAAACAAAAGCCTTTCAAAACTGAGAGAGGATTAGGACTCAAAGATTTCAACTGAACCCTTTTTGGTTTAATCCACCAAAACTTTGAAATGTCCCCTGGAGAAAAAAGATGATGGTACCCAAATGCCCCTAAGTGCCTTCCTTCCTTAGTGGTACCTTCTGCGTATCCTCCAATGTGTCCTTTGGTCCTCCATTTGCTACTGCTTCCTCATCCCTCTACATGAACACACAGGGCCTGATTTTTCCAAGGTGCATGGCATCCGGAGTTCCCACTGCTTTTAACTGGAGAAATGGGAGCTCAGCATCTCGGCAAACCAGACTTGTAGGGCTTCACCATTCCTTTCTGCTATATTAAGTCCCTTTGGAATCCTGTACCCAGGTATGGAACCAGCCATCCAGAAGACACAGCAGATACCAGAGAGAAGAACCTGGCATCTGATGCAAGGGAATTATATGATTCCAGTCCACAAGGGGGCCACAGAGTGAGAATTCCATACCTGCAGAGTATGCAGCTTAGCTCTGCTCAGCAGCTCAAACGACAGAAATTTGCCCCAAATATGAAAAAGTAAATGACGAGAATGAAGAGCCTCTGGTTTTCAGTACCTCGGGATGTGGCCAGTTCAGATCCAGTGTTTATATGTGTCTTAGGGATAATTAGTGAGTCAAGCTGTGTGTGGCAATATCTTTTATTGAACCAGTTTCTGTGTGAGCATGTCTCCCTTCCCAACAGACTTTGGTCCAATAAATTACCTCACCACACCTTGTCTCTGCATCCCAGACCAGCGGCTCCAATGCCACTGCTGGCAATTGGGAATAATCAGCCTTTCTTTTAACACAGTCCGGACCCATTTTCATTTCCAAATTCAGCATTAATCATAGTAATAATATTCAATCCAGGCTTTCCACATCTGTTATGTTTGGATGAACTTCTCAACCACTGATTAAGTCACAGTGGGCAGGTCTCACTATCCCTTTTTCAAGGGGTGGAAATGGAGGCAGAGTGGGGGTTACAGGAAGTCAGTGGGAAAGAATAGGACCCAGGAGTCCTGACTCATGGGACATGCCTACACAGCAATGCAAGCCCAGGCTGGAACTAACCCTCCTTGAGGCAACATACCAATTGTGTTAGTTAACACAAGGCTCAAATCTAAGGTCCCAGGACCCCTCAGGAATGGAGGATCTGAGTCTGTGTTGAAGGGACCCTATTGCATTTCAGTGTGCACGTGGTCTTAGCTTGGCTTGGGTCCCACCACTCCCTTGGATGTATCACAGGTGCTTGGAGCAACTTCCTTAGTCCTCCCTGTGCCAGCAATCCGAGGTGCAGTTCGTTGCACTCTATTGCAGATCCAGCCACTCCAATCGGCCTTAACCACCGAGCTGCATGCATGTACTTGAGCCTGCAGGGTTTGTACTGGACACTGATCAGAAACTTCTTGCAAAGAGAGCTGCTTCCTGGTCACAAAACCACAGCCAGATTTTGGCACATGTGGCACATATGTGCCTGCACGTTCAGTTCTGTGGAGGCTGGGGACAACTAGTCTGCTGGGAGGCAGGGAGTAGCTGAGCTCAGCACAGCTGGGAAGAATGACCTGCAGGATTGGTCCCCATTCCACCCTCTGCTCCCCCACCCCGGCTGCATGTGCAGGGGTGCTGAGGCAGCATGCATTGTCATGGCGGTAGGTGGGAGCCAGGCCCCAAGCTTTCATGCTGCTGTGCAGAGCTTGCCCAGTGCAGAGCAATACTGGCAGGTGGGGGGTAGCTCCTGGTTGCCAGATAAAGGGATCATCCGTCCCCTGGGTGTACTGATCTGGAAGCTTTTCTGCTGACCTATCCTGCAGAGCAACCACAATCCACCCCAGAGGTAGCTGCATTTCAGTGGGCAGCTCAGTGAGCGATACATAGAACAAAGAGATAAATATGCATATACATGAGCTAGCTACACAGATTGTAAAACAGCGTGTAGCACTGTGAGGCCCTCACCTCAGATCAGAGCCTTATTGTACTGCTGCTGCACATATAGATAGGGAGAGACTATCCCAGTCTCAAAGAACTCACCGTCTACAATAAACGACAGGGAGAGGGTGAGCGGGGTGACGACACAAGAGGTCAGTGGCAAAGTCAGGAATGGAACCCAGGACTCCCATTCTAACCTCTAGGCCAGGTGCTAATTAACTAGTTACATGTTGCAGCAAAGCTATACAATATATTGGATAGAACTGGTTGAAATGTGTGACCGTAACATCCTCTGAATTCCCCCAAGAGTGTGCCAGCCTCCCTATCAAAGGACTCACTGTATCCAGTGGTGTGATGTCAGTTTACACCAGCTGAGCATATGGCCCTGTATATTTCATCAAATCACTTACCAGGAGAAGCATGGACACATGAATGTCTTCCGTGATCTTAGAGTAGGAGGACACGCCGAGCAATGGAAAGGTACTGAGGAAAACTGGCCTTGCTAATTATTCATGAATCTAGACAACAGGCTCACCAGATAATGGCACACCCCACTCGCTAGTTATGCAGCATGGCACCAGATCCTTGGTCATTACTGGCAGCCAATGAAAATTACCAGTAGAAATGCCAGTGAAAACATGGGTGAGATGACGGGTAGAACAAACTGATACACAAAGTTCTTTGGGAGAAGGCAAAGGATGCTGGGAAGGATGAGCCAGCATCCCACACACCTCTTGTGACTGCCAGGTTTTCAAAGGAATCTGCCTTCCGCAGAACTTTGCTGAATTATCCCCTCCTCTCCTGCCCACCTGGGAATGGGAGAGTTGGTCTCTCACCAATCTGCCTCCTCCAGCAGCACCGTGCACCACTCCACTGCTGGGCTGGGTGGAAATGACATCTCTTGTCTCAGGCAATAACGGGCCCTCCCCATGCCCCTGTATGCAAGCTGCATACACAGGAGGCGGCTGAGAACAGCTGCTGCAGGCCCAGGGTTCCACACAGCAAACAGGAGCTGCAGCTGTGACATCCAGGAGAGAGAAAGATCCAGGAGATAAGAACTCACAGAGGGGAGGAGGGCTGAGTTATTTTTATACCTTCTAACAACAAGCAGTCCTGGCACCAGCCGCTAAGTGCTAGACGTTCAGAAGGACACCTGCCAGACACCACTGTTGTGCCAGCTACAGTTTAACCAGGGGGAAGGAAGGTGACGAGCTGCAGCTGTGACATCCAGGAGAGAGAAAGATCCAGGAGATAAGAACTCACAGAGGGGAGGAGGGCTGAGTTATTTTTATACCTTCTAACAACAAGCAGTCCTGGCACCAGCCGCTAAGTGCTAGACGTTCAGAAGGACACCTGCCAGACACCACTGTTGTGCCAGCTACAGTTTAACCAGGGGGAAGGAAGGTGACTGTGCTATGCTGTCCCATTTCCACGGAAATCGTAGATGGCTTTAATGTCAGTTGTAGAGGAGGAGTTGGATGGTTCGTGAGACCCTTTCGCCTTGCCTCTTCAGAGCCCATCATTGGATCGGGCCAAACCTCCCACACTGTTCAGCAGCATCTGTGGGCTCCTAGCAGACAGTCCAGGCTGTACGGTGGCAAGTGCCAGGCTGACTTGCTAGACGCAATGGAAAGAGGAGCACAGAAAGCAAGCAAGCATGGGGGCCGGGGGCTGAACAAACTGGAACAAGGGGCAGATCAGAGGGAGTTAACTTAAAGGAGCTATAAAAGTTAAGCTCTTCACCAGGCCTAGTAGAATCAGAACCTGACTTCTGCTGACAGTCTGGATGGCTGAGATCCTCTAGCAATCTGTTGTGCAGGCTTGTTCCTACCCCCATCAACTTCAGGCTCCTTGCCTACTTTGCCATAGCCGCTGGCTGCCTCCTCCTCCTCAGGGTATTTACCCTCCCAAGCCCCATGTGCTGGGGCAGGGTTCTTAGGCACAGAGAGACTTTGGATAGATCTATGTGTAAAAAAAAAATGGCACCGCTAGTTTGGGTCACCTGCCTCGGGCTCTCCAGGCTCCAAATAGCAGCGTAATGGGCCTGCTGTGCCGGTAGCTGAGCTCTGCAACCCAAGGAGGGAAGTGGGGCTCGGAGCCCTGGCAGGAACTGCCACATTGTGATCTTTACCCTGATATGCAAGCCCCACGAGTCCAAGTCCTTTGTCCCAAGTTCTGGGACACACTGTCATGGGGATTCTGGGCTATATCGGCCTTTGCTAAATGAGTTGCCCAAGGTGACAGAGGGAGGCTACAGACATCAGAGAAGAGATCCCTGCTCTTCTACATCCCCTGACCACAGACCCAGCCTTCCTCCCACTTGACT